GTTTTAGCTGGAATTGTGTTTTAGCTGGAATCATGGAATGTGCTCAAATCCCAGTGTATTATTGCTTTTGTTTAATTGACTCATTAATGTCACCACGGTGTCACCCCTGGTGGGACCCCCTCAACCCTCCCCCTGTCCCCTCCTCCGGCTGAGCTTGGAAAAATCACACCCGGATGTCCCAGAGGAGGTTTTGGGTTAATTTTTACCCCCACGGGGCCGGGCTCTCCTGGAACAGCCGGGAATCCCGGCCCTGGAGCCGGCCCTGGGTCACATCCCAGTGAAACCAGGCCCTGATAACCTTCCCCCTCCTTCCCTGCTCCGTGTTTGCCATCCCAGCCTCTGGATCGTGCCAAGAGGTGGGAACCACATGTGGATATCGCTGGGAAAAGGGGGGTCAGGGACCTCAAAACGGGGTAAAAACCAGCTTCAGTTGACCCAAATAGGGTAAAAACCACTAAACCCACCCCAAAATGGAGCTGGAGAACATCAAACCGTCCCTAAAAAAACCCCAAACCCCTCAAAACTGTCCCTGGAGAACCTCAGACCGCCCTTAAAAATCATCTGGAGACCTTCAAACCACCCTAAGAAGCCCCAAAACCACGCCTGAAGAACCTCAACACCCCACTCTTCCCAAAAACGCCCCCAACCCCCCCAAAAAAAGGTTCTGGAGACCCAAAAACCACCCCCCCCCAAAGCCCCCCAAATCTGCTCCTGAAGAGCCTCAAACCACCCCAAAGAGGGTCTGGGGGACCCCAAACCACCCCAAATGTGGTTCCCACCCTGGATGGGGGGCAGAGGGGGCTGTCACAGCCCCTCCCAGTCGTGCCCATCCCTGGGCACTGGGAGGGACAGGAGGGGACATCGGGGTGTCCCAGGAAGGGACTGGGACCCTCCCACCCCAATCCCGGCAGGAGGAGCAGGACCCGAGCCCAGACCCCCCCCGGGAAGGGCGTCAATGATCCCACGGGCTCCTCCCTCCTCTCCCTCGTCGCTCCCTTCCCGGGACAAAGAGCAGCCCGAGAGCAAACACGGCCCTGGCACTGCCCCCGTGCCGGGAAACGGGCCCTTGGCACCCGCCGGGCTTTTGTCAGAGCTGGGAAGTGCTCAGAGCCTTCGGGGTCGGGGCACGGCCGCGCCCTGCGGGGCGGGGAGGGCACTCCGGGCACCCCCCGTGTCCCTGGAATCCCGGCGTGTCCCTGCTCCAAGGGGTCGGGCATTCCCCGGGATGGCTCCGCTCCCAGTGGGGTCCTGGAGGGATCCAGAGCCCTCCTCCCACCCTGTGCCAGGCTGGATCCAGGGATCTGCTCTCCCTGGAGCTGCCTCTGCTTCCACCCCCACGGGGTCAGGGATTCCCTGGGATGGTTTTGCTCCTGCTGGAGTCCTGGAAGGATCCAGAGCTGGATCCAGGGATCTGCTGAACTCTCCCTGGAGCTGCCTCTGCTTCCACTGCCATGGGATCAGGGATTCCCTGGAATGGCTTTGCTCCCAGTGGGGTCCTGGAAGGATCCAGAGCCCTCCCACCCTGCCAGGTTGGATCCCTGGCTCTGTCAGGGGTCTCAGGGAATCCCTCAGAGACTGAGGGATCCCAGAATCTGGGATCTGCTCTGGGCATCCCCAGGGGCTCTGAGCTGGGACATCCAGTGGTCCCCGAGGGATCTGCTGAGCTCTCCCTGGAGCTGCCTCTGCTTCCATCCCCACGGAGTCAGGGATTCCCCGGGATGGCTCCGCTCCCACTCGAGTCCTGGAAGGATCCAGAGCCCTCCCACCCTGCCAGGCTGGATCCAGGGATGCGCTGAGCTCTCCCTGGTTTATTAACAGCAGTTAATTAGCAGGAGGTGCCAGAGCTTCTTCCAACACCCCCGGCAACCAGCGGCAGTCGCCCCCGGGGTCGGCTCCCCCCTTCCAGCAGCGGGGAGTGATTCCCTGAGGAATGCTGCTCCTCCCGGGAGCCCTCCGTGGAGGCAGCTCGGGGGAGATTGGCCCAGAGGGGCAGGGAAGTGTCACATCCCGAGTTTTGGGGGTGACTTGGCAAGGACGCGGCGTGGAACTGGGAGCTCGGGGTCGGGAATGGGATGGGGGCAGAGCCGGGTGGGCTCCGGGCTCGGGGTGGGGGGGGGAGTGTCCTCATCCCAGTATGAACCAGTCAGCCTGGGGCGGGGCGGTGGGAGGGACGGGTTCAACCATCCCGGGTCCGTGATTATCCCTGGGATAAACCCCCTCCCGAGTCCTCTCTCCTGCCGGGGCCGCGTGGATCGGTATTCCCGGGGTGGCCGGAGGGCGACATCCCGCCGGGTCACTTCTCCTCCCTCTCGGCGGCCCCGCAGAGGTTCGGGTGCTCTGCCAGCGTCGCCCTGACTTTCTTCTTCTCCTTGAAGCGCCCCGAGTGGGAGACCTTGACGTGCTTCCCCTTGGTGCTCTTGTCCACGAGCTTCTCCAGGCGGGCGGCGAAGCCGGGGGGTCCCTCGGGGCCGGTGCCCTCCTGGGGGTCCCCCCCGGGGGCCGCGGGGCCGTCGGGGGTCTCGTACAGCACCGTGGGCGCTGCCTGGCGCTTCCTCAGGAACGTCAGCTTCCACCAGCCGTGGCTGTCGGCCATCCTGGAACGGGAATTTGGGAAGGGTCGTGCTCCCTCTTGGGATTGGGTGTTCCTTGGACCCCCCGGGATGTGATTCCAGAGGGATGGAAGCCGGTGCCGGCTTTGCTCGCGGTGGGATCCGCGTGGGATCGGGGACGGGGGAGCACCCCGCGGGTACCAGGAGGGGATGCTCCATGGCTTGGGAATCCCGCGGCGCCGGGAAAAGGCCGCCGGCAGCGCCCGGGAGGTGCCTTATCAGCCACGTGTAGCGGGGCAGGGAGGGAGCCCGGTGAGCAAACAGGAACAGGAACTGGGAGCAGGTGGGAGCTGGGGAGGGGCCGGGGTCCCACCCCGGGATTGGGGTTGCCTCTCGCCGGAGGGGACGGGCGGGAGCGTTGGAAAGGCTTGGGAATGTTCCGGGAACGCTCCAGGAAGGCTCCGGCGATCCAGGAAGGCTCCCGGAGCCGCGCGTGGCTCCAGGGCAGGAACCCAGGAAGGCGGAGGAGCCAAAGGCTTCCCTGGCCGCGGGCAGGGACGGGATTCCCGGCGCCTCTGTGCCCATCCCGGGGGTCGGCGCAGCCCCGTGTCCCCCCCACCCGCGGGGCCGGGCCACCCCCGCCCCCTGCCCGGGCCCTCCCCGCTGTCACCCCCTGGCATCAATTTGGGGGGATAAAAACCCCCCTCGTCCCCGCGAGGTCACAAAAATTGGGGCCACCAGTGGGGTGATGGCCCCTGTGTCCCCCCCAACCCCCCCCTGTGCCAGAGCCAGGT